CCAGCCTCCTAAACCAAGCAGGACCAGGCAGGCTGGCCAGAGAGGCAGCTGTCCCTTCGGCGGGGGACAAGCTCAGCTATGCAGCCTTTGTTGAAATGAACCCAAAAATAACAGTGAGTGCCACCTAGGGACCAGTGCTCGGCAGGGAGGCAGCCGAGCCACACCACAGACAGACCATGTCGGGGCTGATTTCCTCCTTGCATGGACGAGGAGTCAAACTGCAGCCAGGAGAGGCTCTGGACTATTGAAATAACACCAGGTGGGTGAGTTTTGAACTGCAGCTTCTCCCTAGAAAGGCACTAGTTCAGTGAAGGAGATTTGACTCCGTATTGTTGTGCTGTTGTATGGGCAAAGTGCATCCCTTGGCTTCAAAATACTCAGAGCTCTTTGGTTCAGGGAAGGGCATTTTCTAGATCAGGGTTTATTTAGGACCAGTGTGTACCTAGCAGTAAGTCAGAAGTAGATACTTGGCAGAGAGCCCTTGGGTTTGCACTAACACATCCCATGTAATCCAAATTCACCCAAGCCATGGAACGAGCATTAGTCAACAGACAGCAGTTTGTTATTGAGGGCTAGACCTGCACATCAGCGAGGGACACCTGGCAAGACCTGACACTTATTTAATTAAAATTTGACCCATGGAGAACAAATACAAATTTTAAGCAGAGCTCCCTTATTTCTTCCACAAATATGAGCTAAGCTCTGAACTGCCTTCTCCAGCTCTGCCTCCCCTGCCTGACCCCTCTTTGGACCTTGCAGGGTCTGTCTTGAGCTACTCAACTGGACCAGACTTGTCACCCCAAGTCCTGCCTAGGGATGATCCCAAAACCTTATAGGCACAGCCCAGAGTCTGTGCCAGTCTGCCTAGAGGCATTTCTGCAGGTGCACAGTGATTAACTGGTGCACATTTCCATATCACAAATTAAAAAAAAAAATAAAAATAAAAAGACCTCAGCTTGCCTGAAATGCAGCATATTAACCTTTGAAACTGGCAGTCATGGATACCAGCTTCAAAAAGATTAATATCAATAGGACAAAATCCCAGAGGACAGCATCCCATTGCTGCTAGTTTTTCTGGAGCAAAAAATAAGGCATTTTTAGCTTTATTTATTTATTTATCTTTCTATGCTATTCTATAAAGAAATCCCGAAGTGGTTCATATTTATAGACAGAATCCAAGTACTGGAGGAGGGCAAGGGGAATGAGAAGTTGCCAAGGAGAGCTGTGGGTATGGATGGAGCAATGGGAAGGCAAGGGCAGGAGTCCTGCTGCCATCGTCGCAGTTAATTGCCAAGACTCTGAAAAAGGTTTGTTACCGAAATAAATAATAACTCTGTTAGTTCAGGGGGTTCTGCAGCTCCACTGAGGCTGCACAACAGTAAATCCTTGGAGCAGGAGATGCAGCAGCAGCTTGGAGATGCTGCTCTTACCCTGCACTCGGCGCAGACTGCGTCAGAAAAAGCTAATAATCATTAAGCTGCCATCTTTTATTTCTAATTATTTGTCTCCACAGCAGGGTTTCTCCAACCATCAAGCAAAAGGGAAGCAAGTCTCAAAGGAGTAACTGTTTTGAAGCGGGCTCGCAGCTGCCACGGCATGAATGGCTCTCCAAGAACAGTAGCAACCGCTCCGCAGTGCCCACGGAGCTGGGAGGGAAAGCATCTCTGTTTGGGCTGGTTTTCAATGTCGGTTTTTAGGTCAACTAAAACAGCCTTTCTTATGCAACAGAAAGCTCACTTGCTTTGGGGTTTTTGCTTTCATTTAATTAGATGGTAATTCCGAGGGCAGCACCGCTATTCTGAACCCCACAATGAGAACTGTTTCACTGCCTTACAAAGCAACAAAGTGAAAACACTGAGCTAAGCCAGCCCTAGAACTTGACACCGCATTGGGAGTCTGATGGTCTCTTCTGAGGGGGTGGGACAAATGAAAGGGATACCCTGCTGCCACATTTCTATAGACTCATTTAGGTTGGAAAAGCCTTCCAAGATCATGGAGTCCAACCATTCCCCCAGCACTGCCAAGGCCACCACTAACCCACGTCCCCAAGTGCCACATCCACATGGCTTTTAAATCCCTCCAGGGATGGGGACTCCACCACTGCCCCGGGCAGCTGTGCCAGGGCTGGACAACCCTTTCCTTGAAAAATTTTCCCAATATCCAACTTGAACCTCCCCTGGCACAACTTGAGGCCATTTCCCCTTGTCCCATCCCCTGTTCCCTGGGAGCAGAGCCTGACCCCTCCCGGCTCCCCCCTCCTGTCAGGGAGTTGCAGAGCCAGAAGGTCCCCCCTGAGCCTCCTTTCCTCCAGGCTGAGCCCCCCCAGCTCCTTCAGCTGCTCCTGGTGCTCCAGCCCCTTCCCCAGCTCTGCTCTTTTCCCTGGACATGCTCCAGCCCCTTGTCATGAGGGGCCCAGAACTGACCCCAGGTTTCACGGTTTGGCCTCAGCAGTGCCCAGCACAGGGGGGACAGTCACTGCTCTGGTCCTGTGGCCACACCATGGGTGGTACAAGCCAGGTGCCCTTGGCCTCCTTGGCCACCTGGGCTCATGTTCAGCTGCTGTTGACCATCAGGAGAGGTCAAAGCAGAAAATCCCACTGAAAGGTGCAAAAGCAGGAGATCATTTGTTCTTCCTCCTTGAGTTACATGTAAAGGAGAATTAAGGGGAGACCCAAGTTCACAACACAACAAGCTGCTCAAGGGCTCCATGAAGCAATGCCCTTCTCCAGGTGACACAGGACTTATGGGATAGAAAGAAACAACTTCATGTACAGATGAACTTTAAGATCACAACACGTGTCTCCCAGTCACCAGTGCCAACATATGGAAAGACACATCCCAGCCACAGCCCATGAATGGACACACTGAACTTACCACCACAGACAGGCTTAGATTTCTTGACAGGCTTTAAATAATGGCAACATATGTGAATCTCAGCTTGAAGGTCAAGAGCAAAACCCCCAACAGAGGCTCTTCCTGCATCTTCAGCATTTTCCTTCACGGTTTCTGCCCTGCAGCTACTCACAGCTTCCCTCAGGGGAAGCTGCTGGTGTGGTACTTTCAGGACTGATGTCCAACACTTATCAGGTCAGGAGGGGAAATTCTGTTACTACAGCTCCTATGCATTTTATGTTTACCTATGAGATAAGCCAGGCTTAAAGATGGAGAGGCAATCTGAGCCTGCTGTTTTCTCTGCTGGGTGAAGGTCAGGACTGTCCCTGAGCCAGTGAAACTGTCCCACACCACCTTGATCTTTGTCATCACTAACAAGGTACCGCTTGGCTTTCTGGTTCTCTGACCAAGATTCACACCAAGCCTTCAGCAAGCAGCAAATCTCATCTCATAGCAGGGTCAAAACCCCCAAAGCCTGTAACAAGGAGAACCACCAAAATGCAGCTCTCTCCCCTCCCTGTGGCACATGGAAGACAACAAAAGTCACAAACCAGGGATTGTCCAGGTTATCAGCGTTCCCCAAGGAAGAAATTCACCCGTGACCAGAGACTTGTCACACAGCCATAACCAGATGGGCCACTGTCCTGGGGGTCTGCTCAGGCATCAAGGATGAAAACCTGCTCCAGATCAGGCTGGCACAGCTACAGCCACTGTGCTGGTACAGTTTGCCTCTCACTAACCCACCCTGACTGTCACACGAGTACTTTCCTCCACATCAGAGCTCGCAGCACCTTCCGTGCAGAGGAGTTTTATCCTGCTTTCAGATGACTGCTGGGTGTTTGGTGGGGTTGGGGCTCAGCACCTCTGATCAAGGTAAGTTTTCTAGTTAATTAACAATCCTGCTTTTAGAGATGTGGCAGCAAAGAGCAGCTCATTCAGATCAGGAGGCAGCAGCACAGCTTCCAAATATAGTCCTGCACTCAGTTCTGGGTAGGAACAACAGGTTTGTGCTTGGTTTTGATTCATCTCTCCTGCCCCCCCGTGAGGCATCGTATAATGATGTTGAGTTTAAGAATAAAGCAATCTGTTCCCAGCACCTTCCTCTGCTTTCCCTTCAAGTCTTTCATCAGTGACTGGCAGCACATGGAATGCTCAGGCACGGAGCAGAGCTGTTCTAAATATGCTCAGTCCTTTCCATTACTAGGAGAGGAGAGGATGTTACTGGGGAGGGAAGGTGATGTACAGAAGGATACTCTGAATTTTGGAAAAAGAAAGAAAGTAAATTTGAAACTTCTGAAGTTTCCAGAGATCACAACCTCGATGCAAAGGCACCACTGAATGCAGAGGAACAGCTTCACCAAGCAGAGACCCCTTCCTTCCCTCCACCCTGAGCACACACACCTTACCCTGAGAGGCTTTAACACACAAAGTGCACCTCACAGGTTCAGGGCAGACACCAAACCCCTGCAGGGAAACCACCAGAATCCACCCCATCAGGGTGAATTTTCCCCCATGCAAAGCAGGATCTCCGTGAACACAAACTGAAAACATCAGTGCCTGATGCACTTCTCCAAACTCGACATGCATTTCCCATCCTCTCCTGCCAGAAGGGCCTCAGGCTCCTCTCCCTGCCCTGCAAAGCCCCAAATATCTGCAGGATTGCAAAAGGGAAGGTGGCCCAGTGCCCTCAGAGAGCTCCTTACACAACCACAGCACTGACCTGCCACCAACAGCTGTCAGGATGCAGCTGGGGAGGAACAGGGGCCATTGCCTTCCACTCCCAGAAACATTTTCACTTCCATTTGCTCAGTTGCTGGCACTTAGTGAGCTTTTATCCCCAGGTCAGTGCTCCACAGCCCAGGCTGGCAATAAAAACTCCCAGTGGGGGCTTCTTCATATTATAAAACACAACAATTTCGAGGCCACGGAAGTGCTTTTCAATATCCAAAATCTTCACATACACACACAAACACACATGATAAATCCTGCTATTTGTAACAACCAACGCTCTGGAGTTTAAGACAGAATAAACAGGTCAGTTCATTATTTAAGTCCAAGCAACTGGACTTAAAATTCAGGCATTTCCATCTGACAAAGCAGGTACTTACCCAGAGATGAGACAGCCGGGCCAACCACGCAGGCAAGGCACCAAAATCCATCACGGGGCAGCAGACAGAAGAGAAAGGAGAAGAGACACTGGTTAATAAGCAGTTCCAGACAAACACAAAAAAAAAACCCCTCACCCACCAAGAGAACCCCCTGGAGCCACAAAGCCAAGTGCTCACACTTGTATCCACATGAGCCCGGCAACAACCCAGCGAACTTCAGTGTCTGACTCCCCCCGGGACTGAAGGTGGAACCGGACGTTCACGTTCAGCCACTTCTCAGAAAAGTAAACACCAAGTGGGGAAGGAAAAAAAAAAAAAGCCCCAAAAACATCAGCCCGGCATTACCTAACGCTGATAATACGGCGGGTGGTGACGCAGGCGGCCCGTGCCTGGCAGCCTCCAGCGAGTACGGACTCCGGGGAGTACAGACTCCGGGGAGTACAGCCTCCACTGAGCAGAGCCCCCCGTGCCGGGGCACAGGGCACTGCCGAGGGCCGGGCAGAGCCGGGCTGGAGGAGCAGCGAGCTCCGTGAGGGCTCCGCACTGGCCCTGAGCACTTCTGCGCCCGTCCGGTCCTCTGGCCTTACATAAGTTCTCGTGCAAACTTCTGGAGGGATGGGCACAGCCCAGCGCCGCCGGCCCCGGCTGCACAGGGCTGCCTGAGCCCTCTAGTGGGGCTTCAAAAACTCCGCGAAACACCCAGAGACTTAATTTAATTAACACTCTGCCAGAGGCCTCTAAACCCTAATCCTCTCAACAAAAGGATCATTAACTAAATGAAGAGATTCAAGAGAGCAGCGGTGCTCCCAGCCGAGGCAGGGCCGGCTCTGTGCTCCGGTGGGCACACACCGGGGCCCGAAATCCAGCGGGATCCTCAGCCCATGTTGCAGCCCCACCGAGGGCCCAGGGACCTGCTTGACATGTGGCACGATGCTGAACTCCTCAAGAGCCCCCCTACCACAGCAGAGAATCACAGAATCATGGAATGGTTTGGGTTGGAAGGGACCTTAAAGCCCATCTTGTGCCCACCCCCTGCCATGGGCAGGGACACCTTCCACTAGCCCAGGTTGCTCCAAGCCCCGTCCAACCTGGCCTTGGACACTTCCAGAGATCCAGGGGTAGCCACAGCTTCTCTGGGCAACCTGGGCCAGGGCCTCCCCACTCTCACAGGGAAGAGTTTCTTCCTAATATCTAATCTAAACCTACACCAGGCGGAGAGATGGGCACAAGTCCACACCCATCCTTTGGGATGCACCACGATGCCAAAAGTCCCGGTGCCATCATCTCCATCAAGACTGAACCCCCAAACTGCTGAACAAGGATTGGAGCTGGAGCACCAGTTGTTTTTCAAGTGTTATTATCCACTGATGCCAAGAGCCTGGGTGCAAGCAAAGAGCAGGCTCTCCTTTCCAGAGGCAGCCAAAGGCTGGGAAAACATCTCCACCTCACCCAGCCCAGGCAGCACGAACAGCAGGAAGGGTTCTCCTCACCAAGGAGCCAGGGTGTGTGTCGGCAGAGGAATTTACATCTTGGCAGGGTGAAGTCAAGGAAAATCCTTCACAGCCAAAGGTTCCCAGCCCACACATCTCTCCCCAATGGGACAGGGATGGAGATCCTGCCTTTTGCAGGTGGCTCTCTTGGAAAGTCACCTCTAACTTTGGAGCCACGCAGAGGATCCAGAGCAGCTGCGAGGAGCACATCCATGAGACTGCTCATTAGTGGGGTGAACAGGAGCAGAAGAGCTTAATTACAGGGCAGGGATCGTTCCCTCTGGGTTGGGATGCCAGCGGGAGCCTCGGCGGGGCCGCGCTGCCCCACGGGACAGGCGCCCCTCGACAGCACCCGCAGCCAGTGCCACCTCTGCCTGTGGCACATGCAGAGCCTGTGGTCAGCAGGATCCCAGCTGGGGCTCTGGAGGGGCTGCAGAGCCTCAGGCTCCAAATGTGAGAACCCAAATGAGGAAGAATTCAGGTGTTGCTTGCAAAAACCTTATCTGCCAGCAACGTCTCTACACAGGTCTCTCTGGGGATGCTGCTGCAGCCCACCCACAGGTACTGGTTCCCCAGTTTTGGTGCTGTGTGTGAGTACCCCAGTCTCAGCAGCAGCTTCTGGAGGACAAATTGAGCAGTTCACCAGGGCAGAGGCAGCAGTGGCTGCTGGTGGGGCAGAGCCACACCCTAGAAGCTGCCACAATCTGGGCAGGGCTTTTGGGGTGGCCAGGAGGTGCTTTAGCCCAGACCAACACTGCCTTCCTCGGGACCTCAGCCCTCCTGGGTGCCAGCCAAGCTGGTCACAGACCCTCTGTGCTTGGGATTGGATACTGGAAAGCATTTGCAGAGGTTTCCAATTTTGGCAAGTGCCTTTGCCCCCGTCTCCTCCCTGCAGATCCTTGGGATGTGCCTCTGGGATAGAGCTGACACGTTGTGGTCGAGGCCTCCTTGCCCAAAGATGCAGGAATGACTCTTCCCACAGCTAATGAGGTCATCCTGCTCTGACCCGGGGCAGTTTTCAGCACACACAGAGTAAGCAGCGCTCTCCTCGTTCACCTCCTGGGATAAATCCCAAGAGCTCCCATCTCCCCAGCCCAGGCAAGAACACAGATGGTCACGGAGATTAAAACATGCAGAGAATTAACCACCCCGTGCAAATGAGCTTCCTCACCCAGCCCAGCACTGCCAGGTGGTTCCAGGTCCAGCGCTTGGATCTGATCATCACGGTTTGCTGAGCTCCCATAACAGCCTCGGATCGAGCAGGGCAGGGGCCAGGGAGCCGAGCAGGATGAAGGCAGTTTGTAGGGAAGGGGGGATGCAAACTGCCAGAGACCACGTTCACCTCCTGCCGCAGGACAAGGAAAAGCAGCAGCACTGGGAACAAGCCTGGCCAGTGGCAGGGATCAATTCTGCACTCGGATATCCTGTGTATTCCCACTGAAAGGCAGCTGGGATGGAGCAAACAGCGCTGTCACCCCGATGAGAGTCATCTGTGACCCCAGACACTGCTCACAGGGCACCAGGCACCCGGGGCTGCCAGCAGGGAGTGAGGAAAAACCCACACCAGCCCCCGCTGCCTTTCCTAGAAGGATGAAGTCTTGGCACCCGGCTGAGGCACGGGATGCACCTGGATGGACCGGAATGGGGCCACGTGACCGTCCTGAGAAAGGCAGGGCTTCTCCAGGCTGCCTCCAGGGAGGAGCTGCACCCCAAACCCGCCAGCAATATTAAGTCTTATTTTATTTTTACTCAAAACCATGGAATAAAATTCCAACAGGAGGGGATGTCTTGCTCAGCCACCTCCCAGCTGCCCGTGGGGATTCTTAGGGCCGGGTTTCAGGCCGTGCCACGATGCAGATGACCCCGTTTGCTATTAAAAGCCTGCACTGTGCACCCGAGGAAATCCCCGAGCAGCGCTGACCCCATCTGCCAGCCCCGGATTGGCCGAGGCCCATCCCGGCCATACGGCAGAGGTTCACCTCCACGTCAGCCACGGCACCTCCAGCACAACAGCAACAACACACGCTCAAAGTCACGTTACAGCTCAACGTGGCCCTGGGCCGGGCCAACATCTGCCCTCCCTCCTCGTCACTCGAGTTCACCTCAGGGCAGGGAGGTGACTCGGTGCTGCCCTGTCTGACACACGCCCTCAGCGCAGAGAAAGAGCTCCCCCCCCGGGTCTGAAGTGCCCGTCTTGCCCCATCTCCAAGGGGTTTCGGAGAGTGGATATAGAAATACAAGCCCTGGTGGTGTCTGGCAAGCACCTAATCCACCATGGAACTCAGCAGGATCAGCTCACGGAGGTCAGGTACAGCGAGATGCAGTCTGGAACACACCCGCTGCCCTAATGCCCTGGTGATGCTTCAAGGCATCAGCCCACCCCAGCTCCCCCCACCGGGTTCTCCAGGCTGCAAACCAGCTCAGAGCTTCCCCACCACTGCCTCATCTGCAACACTTACAGGACTGTTGTAGTGCCACTGCAGTCAGCTCTGAAGGCTCCCAGCACACGTCAAGCCTCACACCCCCTCCTTAAATCCCACTCAGGTCAACTGTGGCCAGGTGTAATTACCTACAGGAAAGGCACTTGAAGCTGCCAATTTAGCCATCCAATAAGAGGATGTGTTTGTGCCGTCAGGCCGGGGTTGTTCCTCCTCTTCTGCTGCTTACCAGGGTGCCAAAACCTGCCTCACATTAAGTGAACCAGCAAGAACTTCACCTCATCCCTTGCTACCAAACCTGGCTTTCCCAGGAACGGCAGAAGTAAGAGCAGAGAACATTTTAACAGGGTTCGTTCATTTAACTGAATGAATGGTTTTATTTGTATTGTCAAAGAGCTTTGGGGTGAGCCAATGGAGGAGCAAGGGCAGGCCCTACACCCCAAAACACTTTTCAAGGGCCAGAAAACACACTGTTGTTGAGCCCATGGCCATCCACAGGCCGGGATGGGGATGGGGTGGCTCCCACAGCCTCAGCATCCTCCTGGGGGGTTCCCAGCTGCCCCAAATCACCAGGCTGCAGGAAGTGACTTCCAGCCTGGGAGACACGGCACAGCAAGGCGCCCCAAGCTCCCTTCCAGCCTCTTCTCCTAAAATCTGCCAAAGAGCAGCAGCTTTGGAGCCTTCCCAGAGCCACAGGGTCCGACTCGAGGGGGCTCAGACAGCACAAAGCTGTTCTGACCCCGCACTTCTGTCCCAGCACAGACCCTCAGCCCAGAGGCCCAGATGGTGCCTGTGTGAGCCCTGCCCACGGCGCCCCGTCCTCGTCTGGTAGTCCAGGATTTCCTCGGGGGGCATCAGGAGAGGACTAGACACAAACCATACTAATTGGATAGACGCAGAGTCCTGCAGCCCTACAAAGCTGCCAGCAGCTGCTCAGAACCTCTTGTGAACCACAAAAAATAGTTTCATCTAAGGAGCAGGCGTGGATTAAACGCCACAAACGCCCTTTTCTTCCCCCTGTGCAAAGTGCATTTTCCCCCACACTGCGGTCCCACAACAAAACCCAGCCCGGCAGATCAAACCAGGAAATTTAGCAAACTTTGAGCACGAACAATAGCAGGAGGATTTTCCAGACCTTCAAGC